AACGTGGAGTGAATATTTGCCCGTTAATTTTTAGTCTTACAGCGACAGTTTGAGCCTAAATAATCTGATGTTTCTGTGATTTAATGTCAATAAATGGATCGAAATGATGCTGAAATAACGACATTGTGACAGAGTTTCATAATAAGTCTGAATTCAGACTCTGTCGGTCTGCGAGACGACGAACAAACAGCTTTTAAAACGCTTGTTTTCTGAATGGAGTTTGGTTGATCAGATGATAACTGAGTGAAGTGACAGACTCATATTTTCCAACTTCCTCTCTTTACTTTTCTCCAACAATCTCTTTTCCTGTCTGCTCTCTGGGTCAATATGAAGTAGTATCACAGAGCTCTGGGTTCGGGGCAGGAGGGGGGGGGGTCTCCTTAAATATTTCAACTCACACGGAATCACGAATTTCGCGTTTATCTGCGTCTGTGCTTTTATTTTGTCTGTTATCGACCTTCAGTGGGAACATAGCGTAATGCTGCTACATTAGCTCCACCAGCAGTTTGGTGACACAACATTTTTTAGGCTATTGTTTGAGTTCACACACACACACACACACACACACACACACACACACACACACACACACACACACACACACACTCAGAGGGAAAACAGTGTCTGTGAACTGGCGGCGGTCCTGACAGCGTTATTCCAAACAGACATTCCTCAACTCACTTTCCTCCCGACAATTACCCTCCGAACTGTGTGTGTGTGTGTGTGTGTTTACATCTGCTTCTGTTTGTGTATGCATTCCATCAGTGTGTATGTGTGTGTTTACCTCGGGTTGTGTTTGACCAGTATAAAGCTCAGACTGGTGAACTGGTTGCTCAGAAGGAACAGATGTGGTCAAGAATGTGTCTTTGTGTGTGTGTGTGTGTGTGTGTGTGTGTGTGTATGTGTGTGTGTGTGTTCATGTTTAAACAGTAAAAACAGCGTCTGTTGTCCTGAGTTGATTATTTCCTGTGATTACTGATCCCAGATTAGTTTTTCAGATATTTTTAGGGACTTTTTACACAATTCTGTCTGTGTTATGTTTTTATTTTATTGTCTAACAATCATAGAGACTTAAGATGAGATGGTTGGAGGTACTGGGTGCTGTGGTTGAGGAGGGTGGAGGTACTGGGTGCTGTGGTTGTGGAGGTTGGAGGTACTGGGTGCTGTGGTTGAGGAGGTTGGAGGTACTGGGTGCTGTGGTTGTGGAGGTTGGAGGTACTGGGTGCTGTGGTTGAGGAGGGTGGAGGTACTGGGAGCTGTGGTTGTGGAGGGTGGAGGTACTGGGTGCTGTGGTTGTGGAGGTTGGAGGTACTGGGTGCTGTGGTTGTGGAGGTTGGAGGTACTGGGAGCTGTGGTTGTGGAGGTTGGAGGTACTGGGTGCTGTGGTTGTGGAGGTTGGAGGTACTGGGTGCTGTGGTTGTGGAGGTTGGAGGTGCTGGGTGCTGTGGTTGAGGAGGGTGGAGGTACTGGGAGCTGTGGTTGAGGAGGGTGGAGGTACTGGGTGCTGTGGTTGTGGAGGTTGGAGGTACTGGGTGCTGTGGTTGTGGAGGTTGGAGGTACTGGGTGCTGTGGTTGTGGAGGTTGGAGGTACTGGGTGCTGTGGTTGTGGAGGTTGGAGGTACTGGGAGCTGTGGTTGTGGAGGTTGGAGGTGCTGGGTGTGTGGTTGTGGAGGTTGGAGGTACTGGGTGCTGTGGTTGAGGGGGGGGGGGGGGGGGGGGTTTGGGGGGTGGGGGGTGGGGGGGGTTGGGGGGGGTGGGGGTGGGGGGGTGGGGGAGGTTGGAGGTACTGGGTGCTGTGGTTGTGGAGGTTGGAGGTACTGGGTGCTGTGGTTGTGGAGGTTGGAGGTACTGGGTGCTGTGGTTTGGAGGTTGAGGTATGGGTGTGGTTGGGGGTTGGGTGTGGGTGCTGTGGTTGAGGGTGGGGTCTGGGCTGTGGTGGGGGGGGGGCTGGGTGCTGTGGTTGTGGGGTTGGGGACTGGGTGTTGGTTGTGGAGGTTGGGGTACTGGTGCTGTGGTTGTGGGGTTGGTCTGGGTGTGTGGTTGTGGGGTTGGAGGTCTGGGAGCTGTGGTTGTGGAGGTTGGAGGTGCTGGGTGCTGTGGTTGTGGGGTTGGAGGTACTGGGAGCTGTGGTTGAGGAGGGTGGAGGTACTGGGTGCTGTGGTTGTGGGGTTGGAGGTACTGGGTGCTGTGGTTGTGGAGGTTGGAGGTACTGGGTGCTGTGGTTGTGGAGGTGGGAGGTACTGGGAGCTGTGGTTGTGGAGGTTGGAGGTACTGGGTGCTGTGGTTGTGGAGGTGGGAGGTACTGGGTGCTGTGGTTGTGGAGGTGGGAGGTACTGGGAGCTGTGGTTGTGGAGGTGGGAGGTACTGGGAGCTGTGGTTGTGGAGGTTGGAGGTACTGGGAGCTGTGGTTGTGGAGGGTGGAGGTGCTGGGTGCTGTGGTTGTGGAGGTTGGAGGTACTGGGAGCTGTGGTTGTGGAGGGTGGAGGTGCTGGGTGCTGTGGTTGTGGAGGTTGGAGGTCTGGGGTTGGTTTGGGGTTGGGGTCTGGTGTTGGTTGTGGGGTTGGGGTCTGGTGCTGTGGTTTGGGGTTGGGGTGGGAGCTGTGGTTGTGGAGGTTGGAGGTGCTGGGTGCTGTGGTTGTGGGGTTGGGGTAGGAGTGGTGGGGTGAGGTCTGGGTTGTTGGTTGGGCTGGGTGTGGGTCTGGGTGGCTGGGCTGTGGTTGTGGGGTTGGACTGGGTGTGTGGTTGTGGGGTGGGGTCTGGGTGCTGGGGGGGGTCTGGTGTTGGGGGGTACTGGGGCTGGTTGTGGAGGTTGGAGGTCTGGGGCTTGGTTGTGGAGGTTGGAGGTACTGGGTGCTGTGGTTGTGGAGGTTGGAGGTACTGGGTGCTGTGGTTGTGGAGGTTGGAGGTGCTGGGTGCTGTGGTTGTGGCTGATGGAACAAACGAGCCTCCAAACCGCTTCGAGGCTCGGGGCTGGGTCAGTCTGTGGCTGAAAGTGCTCCTGAGCTGCCTGAGCTCAGTGTAGAGAGGATGAGAGGGGTTGTCCATGATGGCTTTCAGCTTCTCTCTCATCCTCTTCTCAGTCACAGCCTCCACACTGCCCAGCTTCATCCCAACCAACGAGCTGGCCTTCCTCACCAGCTTGCTCAGCTTGTTGGCATCATAAGTCCCAATGCCCCCCCCCAACAGACCACAGAAGAGAAGATGATCCACTACAGACTGGTAGAACATCTGTAGTAGCCGAGTGCACATGTTGAATGACCTGAGCCTCCTCAGAAAGAACAGCCTGCTCTGTCCTTTCCTGTAGAGGGCCTCAGTGTGATCCGTCCAGTCCAGTTTATTGTTGAGTGTCACCCCCAGGAACTTGTAGGTGTCCACCATCTCTACCTTCTCCCTCCTAATCTCAACAGGGGAGGGGGTCCTCTTGCTCCGCCGGAAGTCCACCACCAGCTCTTTGGTTTTTCCTCTGTTGAGCTGTAGGTGGTTCCTGTCGCACCATCCAATCTGGATCAGGTCTCTGTACTCCTCCTCCCTATCATCTGAGATACAGCCGACAATGGAGGAGTCATCGGAGAACTTCTGTAGGTGGCACGCTCCAGAGTTAGAGCAGAAGTCAGAGGTGTCTGCTAATACAGTTTGTGTTCAGCTCATCAGAGTTTAGATATTAAATAATAAACTGTAATGTGATTATTTTAACTCAAATATGGGGAAAAAGTTAACAAACATTCTTGATTAAATACTTTTTTACTAGTTTTAAACTTAAAATCACTAAAACTGCCTGATCAATAATGTTTTTTACTCACAAAATTGAGTTTGTTGTTGTTTTTATTTATAGTTAAATAAACGTATTATTGTTAAATTCAGTAATAATTGTATTTCTATTGATTTAATTAAACCTAGTTCGTGTAACATCCATCAAATAATGTAAACAGCATGTTTCTGTTTCACAGACTTTATTCTGATGCTCATATATATACATATATATATATATATATATATATATATATATATATATATGTATATAATCATTTTATAATAGTATTTTAGGGTTTATGTTGGTACAGGATAAAGTTTCCCTATAGAGTCAGTGTGTGTTTGTCCTTTCTGGGCTACCGTAGAAACATTACTGACAGTAGCTCACTGTTTCACACTGGAGCTTTAAAACTTAAAAAAGATTGAAGATGATAACAGACAGACATAATCAATAACTTCGTCTTCTGTCGGGATCTGGATCAAACTGAGCGGGAAAAAACTGAAAAGTGAATTTTTTTCTTTTTTCTTTTCAACCAGGTGAGCTAACTTGAAGTTTCCACCTGTTGTTGCCGTGACGACAGCATCTGTTTACAGTCTGTTGTTGCTCATTAGTGTGTGTGTGTTTGATTAAAGATATTTACAGTGTAAACAATGATCAATAAATCCAGGTGAACTCTGTTATAATACAATAATCAGACTTACATTTACAGCAGAGTGCTGTTATTATTGGATTGTTATTATTTTAATCTGAATGTTAACAGTTATAGAAGTGTAATAAAAGTCATTATCTGTGAGATTACAGTAATTATTGCTGTTTACACTGATAACAACTGTATTTGGACAGTTTACCTTATACACTGATACACAACATTTATTCAACTTCCATCATTATACAACATATCTGTCTGTTAACTAACTAATACATTAAGATTACACAACTAATACTTTTTACTGTTAATGTCACTGATTCTATATCATTTTATAAAAGTATTAACAGTATTAAACTTGAATTTAACACTAACACAAATAAACAGTAAATATCTGTGATATTTAGGCTACTGTTCAGTCGCACCTGAGATTCACCTTTTATCTGCAAAGAGCTGGACTGTCTCTCTCTCCCTCTCTCTCTTTCTCTCTCTCTCTCTCTCCCTCTCTCTCTCTCCCTCTCTCTCTCTCTCTCATTCTCTCTCTCTCTCTTTGGACCTCCCTCCCTCTCCTCCCTCCCTCCCTCCCTCCTGCAGCAGCAGTCCCGGGTCGAGCTGACTCTCCGCCGCCCGGAGCTCCAGACTTCGGATTCCCACCGTTCACCGGGAGTTGGAGCCTCTTCACGCCGCTGTCAGCGCTTCCTCTCCGGGCTCTATATTCTCTCTCCGGGTGGAGGCATCGATCAGCTGGAGCTTTTATTACCGGACAGATGTTGGATGGATTCTCTCTCTCTTTTTCTTTTTGGTGCTTTTGGTGCGTAAAACTTTGCCACATCGGTTAGAGGACGAGCCGGAGTTTGTGGGAATACGGAGCGGGATCGGGAGCGTGAGGAGAGGGTTGTTTGGTCCGATGCGTCCGGAGCGGCCGGTTGAAGAACAGCGGGGAACGACCGAGAGAGAGGCGGAGGACAGAGCGGGGTCACCGGCTGCTGCACGTACATGTCTCCGCTCCCCACCGGCACCGAGGTACCTCACTCTGTCTCACTCTATCTCACTCTATCTCACTCTGTCTCACTGTCTCACTCTATCTCTCTCTGTCTCACTCTAATTCACTCTGTCTCACTCTATCTCACTCCATCTCACTCTGTCTCACTCACACTCACTCTGTCTCACTGTCTCACTCACACTCACTCTGTCTCACTGTCTCACTCTATCTCTCTCTGTCTCACTCTCATTCACTCTGTCTCACTCTGTCACTCTCCATCTCACTCTGTCTCACTCACACTCACTCTGTCTCACTGTCTCACTCACACTCACTCTGTCTCACTGTCTCACTCTGTCTCACTCTGTCTCCCTCTAACTCACTCTTTTATTTTCATTGTACATGAGAGCGGATTTCAGACAGAAACAAAGATTTTTTTATTTATTTTTTTTCAAATTAAAAGCATTTAGAAGCTTTAATGTGAAAAATAAAAAGTAAAATAATCCGAGGTTTGTAAAATTTATATAGGCTGGAAGGCTTTTCACAATAAGAGGCTTTTCACAATAAAAGCCCCCCCACATCGATCACAGTATTGATCAGGTTTATTGATCCTTCCTCAGGCTGGGTAAAGATTTTGTGTGCGAACTTCTTGTCTTTAGAGGCGCGCTGTTGTACTGGAACCGTCTAAATGAGTGTGTGTGTGTGTGTGTGTGTGTGTGTGTGTGTGTGTGTGTGTGTTTTATATTTTGCATCTTTTCTCACACACACACATATTATTAATATTATTATTAATATTATTTTAATTTAAATAAGAATATATTTGTATATATTTACTGGATGTTGTTATTTTTTCCACAATAACAAACATAAAGACTCTTTATAAAACAATGGAGGATCAATCAGGCTGCCAGAATTGATCTTGTAAAGGAGTGGTTCCCAACCTGAGGGTCGGGGCCCCACTAGAGGTCGCCAAAGCTTACAGGGGGTCGTGAGGCCTATTTGGTTTTATGGGATATGAGTTTAAAAAATACACACAGTTGGTTCATTAATTTCTGTGAAGAAACTAAATGAGAGTTCATAATACAGACAGAGGATTAATTAATTATTATTGATTAATAATGATCAATAATCACAGGAAATAATCTGCTCGTTTTTCAAAATAAAGCCCCCAATGGCTTCTTAACGGGAGGCAAGGGATGCATCTATTATTTTTCTATTTGTCTCTCTCTCTCTCTCTCTCTCTCTCTCTCTTTGTCTCTCTCTCTGTCTCTCATCTTTCAGCTTTTAAAAACAAACTGACCGCACAGAAAAATGTGAGAGAGAGACAGAGACAGAGAGAGAGAGAGAGAGAGAGACAAAGAGAGAGAGAGAGAGAGACAAAGAGAGAAAGAGAGAGACAGAGAGAGAGAGACACAAAGAGAGACAGAGAGACAGAGACAGAGAGAGAGAGAGAGAGAGAGACAAAGAGAGAGAGAGAGAGAGACAAAGAGAGAGAGAGAGAGAGAGAGAGAGAGACACAAAGAGAGACAGAGAGACAGAGACAGAGAGAGAGAGACAAAGAGAGAGAGAGAGAGAGACAAAGAGAGAGAGAGACAGAGAGAGACAGACACAGAGAGAGACAGAAAGAGAGACAGAGACAGAGAGAGACAGAGAGAGAGAGAGATTGATAATAAGAGTCAGATCTGTAATAAGTTTTAATCAAATCACTGAATTTGAAAACAAAACCATATTTTTCACAATGAGCAGGGTGTCAGTGAACGCACCATCAGTGAGCAGGGTGTCAGTGAACACACCATCAGCAAGCAAGGTGTCATTGAAAGCACCATCAGCGAGCAGGGTTTCAGTGAACGCACCACCATGAGTGCAGACGAGTCACTTGAACTCATCAGTGTTTTATAGGCTGATGGATCTATTATAATGTGGTGGTGTGTTCAGGTTCCCCCTAAAGATTGGGAAATGTAACAATCACACACTGAGAGACCACACGGAGGCTCTGTGGCGCAATGGATAGCGCATTGGACTTCTAGTTCACCTCAGAAGAAGAGATTCAAAGGTTGTGGGTTCGAGTCCCACCAGAGTCGACCTTTAAAGAACGCACTGAACCTTCACACTGGTTGAATTAATCCCTTCATGCTCAGGTGACAAACTCTATAATGCTTCTTATAAAACACAGATACAGTCTACACTTATTGATTCACCCTGTATCTTCTTGTCATCCAGCAACATGTTAATGAATCCAGGAGGATTAGTGCAACATGCAGAGGCTCTGTGGCAAAATGGATAACACATTGGACTTCTAGATTAAACTCTAAAGGCCAGGACACACCAACCAGATGGCCGACCGTCGGCAGAAAAGCAGTTGGACTGATCAGTCGGCTCCCGTCTCCCCGAGTCGGTCAAAAAAGTGCCTCCGAACACACCAAACTGACGCCAACTGGAGCGTACCCTCTGCGTAATACGTCCCCATAAAAAGAAAACCGGAAATGACGGATCACTCTAGACGTCGTAAACACAGAGCACGCTGTCGTCAGTCACTGTTTCCATCAGAGAGTGTTGATAGTAGTCAGGAAGGATCCTTATTGTCATTACTCGCTGAATGGAAAATACAATGGCTAATAATAAGATACTGGCGTTGGCGTAGTACGTTTACCATCGTCACTTCCGGTTTTCTCGTGCACTCACTGATTCGCTAGTCAAGGGCGAGCACTCCACCAATCAGATTGGTCATTGACCGACATGTAGAATCGGCCAAAATGAATGCAGACGCCCAAGCTGACTCCGACTGACGACGGCACGGGACACACCGAACCGACTCGAGTCACCGACCTCGCCCAACTGTCCGCCGACGTCCGACAGCCGATAATCGGGTTGGTGTGTCCGGGCCTTACAGAAGAGATTGAAAGGTTGTGGATTTGAGTCCCACCAGCGTCAGCACTGGAAACTACAATAAACTGTTGTTGTGTGCAGAAAAAAACAACAAATTAAGAATAATTAGCTGTGATTGGACAAGGTTCCACAGAACAGTCTTACAGACAGATTAAAGGATCAGTAAGTGAGGCGCTATCGTTTCACCTCTGAAGAACCTCTAATGTATTTTCGACAAGTATCTTTGGGAGAATGTAAATCCTCTTTGAACCTGAGACTGTTGGAGTAGTTTAATTAACTTCTGCTTTCTGTTCAATATTTAAAGTCCCTCATAGCCCGATTGTTGCGTCCTGCCCGATGTCACTGCAACATTTTACCTGCCTTTGTTTGAGTGAAAATTACAAAAACGATTGAGATTTTATTTTGTATAGCTCGTTAAATTGAAGCCAACTGGTTCCAGTGACACAGTCGCACTGTTGGAGGACAGAGAAGTGCCACCGAGGCTCTGTGGCGCAACGGATAGCGCATTGGGCTTCTAGTTCACCTCTGAAGAAGAGATTCAAAGGTTGTGGGTTCGAGTCCCACCATAGTCGACCTTTAGATAAAGTTGGGCTGAACATTTAAAAACACAAGCAGTCATTGATTTCTCAGGAAGGCAGAAATCAAACGCACCCCAAACATCTCAAGTATTTGGAAGCAATATGGGGGATAATTATGGGATATGGGAGGATGGTTTCCTCGGTTACCAGTGTTTGTCGTTTATAATAATTAGTCCAACAATTTAGTGTAGTCTGAGGTCGGACAGAGGCTCTACTGTGTGTGTGTGTGTGTGTGTCAGGCGACAGATGTATACCGCAGTGTTTCAGACCTCAGAGCAACGCAGTAAACAACATCAACAACACACACACACACACACACACACACATATATAAAGGCATATACATCCATTACACACATACACACACACCCACACACATACACCAGAGGAAAAAGCTGCACTGAAGACAGTTTGTTCAGTTAAATAAATGTTTTAATGAGTTTCTTCCAGAAAATGATTACATGCTAACAGATAGCATGTGGCTATAACAACATACAAACTTTTAATATTAATTATTAATTATTAATTGACTCTTTCGATCAGTCTGACAGTCGCAGAAAAACAGAACCAACGTTAAACTTTAACACAGGAAATCTTTAGTCTGAAGGCAGACTCATTATCGCTGTTTCTCATTCATATTTTTAGACATTTTTTGAGTTCACTGTAACTGGATGTTAAAACTGGACTTTAATGCTTTTAGAGGTTATATGTGTTTTATGCAGCAGCTTCATTGTTTAGAAACAATGCTCTAATGTCATTGTGTTCATGGTTGAAACCAGGTGTGTGTGTGCGTGTGTGTGTGTGTGTGTGTGTGTTTGACACCTCCTGCTGCCCCTCTGTACATTCCCATCATGAATCATACCACCCTCCATCATTCCAGTCTTCCCATAAAAACTCGTTGTCTCTGTCATTTTGTTTCTTTCCATTAATTTGAGACGTGTGAACACACACACACACACACACACACACACACACACACACACACACACACACACACACACAGACACACACACACTGTGCTGTGTGTTATTAGTCACAAAAAGCATAAATACTCTGAGGGAATTTCCACAAACACTGTGCCCGTGCAGTTTTTCTCTGATGACAGGTTTAAAGAGCCTTATTTTGAAGGTTCAACTGTCCACTGAGAGGACACCACTTCCCACAATACAACACAGGACAATAGGATTATTATTTTAGGTTTTAGAGATTTATTTTTAGCCAACAACAACAGTTGGATGGACTCTGAAGTCACCACGCTCCCAAACTAACGTTTGGAATTAGATTAGGTTTAATCATATTTCAGTGATCGTACTCAGGTCAGATTCCAGTAAATAGTCCCTGTTAAAGATTATGGTAGGAAGATGGTAAAAAGATGTTGGCACACATGGTCACCGGGGCCCCTCCTGCTTTTGACCTTTCTATTTGCTGTGTCTGATGTCCATGAACATGTTTTATTGTTTCATTTTTGTGCAGAAACATTTCCTTTGTCTTGTTCTCTGGAACCGACGAGAACTGGAATAAACTATTGAGAAATAACAGCAGATGAGAGGCGTCCAGGTTTAACTGCTTGCTAACAGACAG